ACTCGAAATATTTTTCAGCAAATAAATGCAAGTCAAGACTTAAATATATAGAGTGATAGAGAATTCCGAGTGCTATTAGAATATATAATTACTTTCCTTAAAATGTAGTTTTATATTGGCGATATAATTCTACTGATCCAAACGTGCAGAACTTATGCGCCAACCGGATATAAAAGTTTCAACAACCAAGAGGAAGATAACGACAAACAAAGACGCTTCAGGAAAAAAAGAATAGGAAGAAAAAAGGACCACTGGGGTTTTATTGAAATGCAGCGAAGTAGTTGAGAAATCTATTTGCTCATGCAAAACATCTATTAAATATTGAACATAATAAACGTATCGTTGGGATAGATGCTGAGCGTAAAGTATTAAAATAAGGAGTTGATGAACGAGACGAATTTTTTCATGAAGTAATCTGGAAGCGTAGAGTAATGTAGTATTGTCTAAAGAGAAATATAACTATAGTTAATAGATTAAGATTTACTCAATTATTAAATTATTGGCACTTTGATATGAATGGATCTACAACGAGATAATGAAAAGTGAAATATAGAAACGTATTCATTTTACTTACTCTTCATTATTGTTTTCATGATTACTTTGTTTCATTTCGAGCTTTCTTTTGACTTTTGAATGTTTTAGCCCAATAGTGACTAACAATTGCTCTCTCACACTTCATGTCATCAGCTCTTTCAGCAACAATCATGAATTACTTTGAAATAGTGAATACTGCTTCAGAAACTATGAATCGTGTAATGAAACCGACAACATAAAGGCCAATTGCTATAAGAGCAAGTATGTTCCACAAGTTAGTAATGAAGTTGCCTTTGAGCGTCTTACGAACTACCTAAGACAGAAATGATACATGTGGAATATATGAATAAGAAATTATATGATTCATTTCTCACTTGATATGTTTCTTCACAAATCACACTCCATAAACATATATGAAGCATGCTTTCTGGGATAGGCACGAGTAAGTTATAATAGCCCGATCGAGTTTCATGATAAATATGCAGCGGAAAGTAATCAACAAGGTAAACATAATTGAATAGGCCAAGAAATACTATGAAAAATATCTTAAATAGTCAAATGAAAATTTCTTTTTTTTTGATATCCTAGTCATTTTATTCGATACAATTTACGTACTACATTGTAATAAAATCGAACTATGGGCGCGGCATAAAAGTAGCCTATCTTTTGATACCATTGAACACTACGAGGTTGAACTGGTTGATAAGGCCTTGACTTATTAAAGACAAATCAACATAAATATGTTCGATATTCAACATTCTTACAATTCTGTTGAGACGGTGTTAGCATCAAAATTTGTGCATAACGAAGGCTGTACAGTTGTAGAAGACTGGAAAGACGAAAAAACAATAAGAATATCAGAATAATAACATGAATTCTGATGTGAAATACCGTGTTAGATCTTCTCATGTAGGGTAAGAAGACAGATCCAAATGGAAGAAGTGGAATAAATAGTGTACAGAGGAAAACCTAAATAATAGAACTTCTTTACATTTTCTATAGGGAAAAGTACATTGAAATATTCACTCGAAAGTCGATCCATATGAGGTGATAATTGATAGGACCAAACCTGTACATATAGGCTTATTATTGAGATTTCGATATAGAAGAGTCTCAAAACACATAAGTGATGTTCATTATGAAGATTGTGACAAAGAAAGGACTCCGAAATTCATGGAAAGTTTTCTTTCACAGAATAGTTTTTCTATATTAAATATGAAAGATCTTACCATAAATTATTCAGATATCTTTGAACACATGGTGATGCTATAAATTTTCGACAATTAGCCTCGCATGCACGTTTCAGTGGATGAGCATTGTAAAAAGTTGCAATCAGACCCTTGAGAAGTTTAATTGCAAACATTTTGTTATTGTCAAAACAGTGATCAATAATTGATCTTGCATAAGCATCAAAAGTCCTACAAGAAATACCAATGTGAACTATTGTTCGATTGCGGTGGAATTCACAAATCTTACTCAGCTGTCACATGGTATTTTTCTTTTAGTTCCGAATTTAGTGTGCTGCTTCTAGCTCTTTGATAGATCCAGGCAGCAATCAATGGAGCTATCAATGGATTCTAAAACCGATGAGTGATGCAAGAATTAGCGACGATCTTCCTTCACTAACATAGATACGTTTCCGAGTATTCATTCGCTTTTGAGTCGAGACTATATGCATCATATGGAGTCCAATGAGCTATTCATATTCTGAAAAGGTTCATCCTCCGTAGCTGAATTTGGAATTTTGGCTTAAAACTTTGCACGGATAAAGTTCAAAGTGAAAATAGTTTATGGTGAAAGGGTGTGGGTGTGGGTGTGAGGTGTGGAGATGAAAAGAGACGGACCAAAACCACACTCACACTCCACACACCCACATCCACCCACACCCTACCCCCACACCCCCACCCCCACACCCACACCCGGGAGCTGCCGCTTCCGGAGTTGCTTTAGTTGCAACAGGTGCTGGGGAAGGTGCAGTTGCAGGAGGAGCAGCGGGAGTAGTCACAACGGCTGTTGCAGGTGCAAGTGCAACGGCAGCAACAGTAGCTGGTACAACAGCAGGCGGTGGAGTTATGGGTGCAGTTGGTGGCGTGCTTGCAGGTGGTACAGCTGGCGTAGCAGCAACCAGTGCAGCTACAGGAGCAGCTACTGCTGCAGCAGTTTCATCCGCTAGTGCTGGAGCTGCTAGTTTGGGAACAGTGGCTGGTATACTATCTGGTCCAGTTGGTTGGCTTGCCCTTGGTACATCAAAAGAAGAACAACTGCCTAGTGTTTATACGTTTGATTGTTGGAAATTAGTTTTACATGATGATTCACGTGAACCTTCAAATGGAAGATTATTGAGAGACGTTGCCTTGGATACACGTATGAAACAAGTAACAATAACCAACAGTCATACCGATCTACCGAATTTGGTTTTACAAAATATATGGGATGAAGAGTTTCGTATTGAATACATTTATTTGCTTGATGACCAACTGACTGCTCATGCTGTTAAAATATAAAAATTAGTTAAATCTTGTTTATATTTTTTTATTTACTTTCATTGTACTACACACAGACATTCTTATAAGCTACACTTGTAAAAATGAAATTCTTGTGTTCTTTTCATTTATTTTTTTCTTGAAAGTTTCGGGTGTACTCATCCATCCCCATTACTTGAATAGGGTCTGAAAATATTTTTTTTTCTTTATGTTTCTATGTTTTAGATAGTTTGGTGTACGCAATTCATTGTTCTTACAAATTTATTTACAACAATTGACAGAAGTATTCTATTTTAAAATGGTTGCTTTAACTGGAGGTGCTGTTGCTATATCTGGTGCTGCTGCCAATGGAATACTTGGAATAAGCGCCACAACAGGTGCGCTTACTGGCTTAGTAACGGGAATTCTTAATGTAGCAGCTACAACGGGACCAGCAGGAGCAATAGTAGCTAAATCGGCAGGAGGAGGAATGGCTGCAGGTGCAATTGGTGGCACAGTGACAGCTGGTGCAGCTACAGGAGCGGTAGTTGCTTCGATGAGTGGTGCAGGTGCTGATGCAGCAGTTTCGTCAGTCGTCACTGAAACTACTGGCTTGCCATTGTCCAGTACGCCAGCTGCTATTCTTTCAAGTCCAATCGGTTGGATTGTTCTTGGTGCTGCCGCATAAACACAATCGTCTGATGTTTATGGAAGAATGTTGAAAGATCTCATCAAGGATCCACGTATCAAACAAGTGACAACAACCAACAATGATGATATTCTACCACATTTGATTTTGGAAAATATATGGGACGAACAATTCAGCATTGAATATGTTTATTTGGAACCTACTAATCAATTGGCTGCCCATGCTGTTAAACTATAACATTTTTAATAGCACGCCGTTTGTATTTTTCGTATAGATTGATATGCAACATAGACTCTATAAATGATGACTATACTTCTAAAATGGGTTTCAAACTATTCCTGTTCGCACATGAGACCAGATACTTGCCCACTTCAAAAGCACCGCATGGCTTACTTAACAGTTGAACTTGTCACTTCAGAGACGGCTTGCCAGAAAGCCGAGCAATAAATATATACATGGAGGGAGAAAAATTTTTTGATTTTGATTTTAAGTATCTCAAATGAAAGGTGGCATAGAGTTAATGCTAAATCCAAAATATTAGCTCTATATCATGAACTCTCGTTGAGTTACAAGGCATTCTCTAAACATGGATCACATCGAGCTAGACAGGAAAAATCAACTTTTTTTAGCTTTTAGCATACTCTAAAAGAATTTCAAAATATTTCACTATTTCAAGCACTGATATGCTAACATAGGATCCCAAATGTAAGCACATCTTTTTCTATATCAGATTACTTATTTTTGTATACTCAAAAAGTGAGTACACTGTAGAATCGGCCAGTGTGTCCGGTCGGCTAGCCATTTAAACGATAACTTTTAAAAGAAGAGTCCGATCGCGATGAAATTTTTTACAGTTTTTTTTTTATCAACATCTCGCTCGAGTTCGAAGATGAGAATGATTCATCGAGCCATTGCTGAGTTATCGCAAACAGAGTCATTAGTCTCTATGCTTTTCTATGCGAACATTAACATATCTTGAGTTTCGTAAAAATCTTTTCCTCTCATAATCAAACAAAACCCCAACTATTATATACCATTCGATAGAGAATTTCACGACCTATAAAATGGTATATAAAATATTAAGAAACAAGAAGGCTAACTCACCTATTGCAAAGATACTAAAACAGAAATCGATTCTGTTTTTGTCTACGCTACAATTAATCGGGTGTGGGTGCTAATGTAGATAAGATTATCAAGCACACTAAAGCAAACACCCATACCCACACCCACACTCACACTCCCTCTATCTATGTCACATATTAAAACCAAAATCTCATCAAAATAGTAGACCGTTATCACGCTTGAGGAAATAATTGATTTTAAAAATAAATTCGTCGCATACAATATTGGAGAAAAAGACGTTCCCTTATCACCTCCTTCGGCTGATGAAAATCGCAGATCTCTAGCTGTTTGTGTTCTTGAGTTATTCAACGGACAGTCACACGCATGGGCTTTTTGGGCAGACGAGTTGATTTTGAAAGTATAACATTAAAATCTATTAAAGCAATGTTTCCTAATACGATTTCAATAGGTAAATTTTTGTCAATAAAAATTACTTTTGCTATGAATATAGATTGTCTGATTCATTATGGAGTGTTTTTGGTGCAAGATACAGTCATTAGGTTTTCAAAATAAGTATATCAATGATAATAAATTTTGAATGAATATAAAGAAAAATTTACCACTTTTCCATTTGTATCTGTTTTGGATGTTATTACAGATTATTCATCCATCATCAATAGTTTTGATGAAAATGTTTATAAATTTATTGATTATTTCGAAAGAGGATAAAAACAAAGGAAGCAGCCTGTACCAATTTAAACATTTTTGTTTAAGGTAGCTCGCTTTAAAAAGATTTAATTTCGATAGGGTACATGAGATATTAATGAAAATTTGAAATAGGTATTCGGCTCATAGAAGTACATTATAAAAAAAAATTTACACCTCTATATCTTACATTCAGGAAATTTCCAGGAATCAAGAGCTGTAAAACTCGGGCTGGTTTCAGTCGAAAGAGAACTTCTTACCATTTCGAATGAAAGAAAGTGTTTTGCTAATTTTTTCTCTATTTCATTTTTTGGATTATTGAAACTTTAAAAGTCCAGATATGTTTGGTATGGTTTTCTGAAAAACTCAGAGCTTATCTATCATTGACGATTAGTTAAGAAATTCATTTCTCCCATCTGAAGGATTATGCATATATCTATAGATAAGAAGACAGACAGCTATCTAGAATGAAGTATACTGAGAAAAAATTTGTCCACACTTCGATTATTACTGAAAAAATAAATTGTGAAAAAAAAATGTAAAAAAACTTTTTTTTTAATATAATTAGGTAGAACATAAATATATAACATGTCAATCGAAGTGCTTATCTATGTACATTACGAGATATGTCATGGGATATGATACTATCTATCATTGCCATTATATTTGTTATACCATTCAACAAGATAAGAATGCAGGTGTGAGACAAAAGAAAATCCACATCCTCACTCTCAAATTATTGAAGATTTCAAGCGTGTATTTCTAAGATGTGCAAGATTTAATTACCTGTGAAAAATATTTGTTTATTTAGGAGATCTAAATCTACCAAAAAAAAAACTTACTGATTACTCTAGACATCATGATTTGTCGAGATAATTTCTAAGGTTATTCATAAAACCTTCGAGACTTAAAACTGTTTTTACGAATTCGTACATTATTCAACACAGGCAACGTATTTATATGTTTATCTCAAAAATCATTCTTTTGACAAAAATCGAGTTTTCTGAGATGGTGGCTTCTTTAATGTATTTACTAACCTAAAATGCTGATTTAGGTAGTCGACATAATAAACTGAAATTCAGATTGAAGTTCTGAAATATCTACGAGCGGGTTATACAAGGCTTGCTCTGATAGAATAATGCCGTCGAGAGATGACATCATTCATTCAACAACCGTATATCATACAAACATCGTTCTATGACTAAACTTACTAAATGTATCTTAAGTCAACAAGCTAGATTCAAAACCGATATTGAACGATTTCGTGTAGCTGAATAACCTAAGAAAAAGTAAAACGTTTTATATGAATCTTGATGTATGATTAAAAAGAATTGCACTGTCTTATGACGGTAACCATATCGAGAAATATTTAACTCGAATTGTTATGAACTTGAAAATAAGCACTTAAATTTAGTAAAATAAACTTTATCTCATATTGCTATAATGTTAATCAATGATCACAGTTTGGAACGAAATGTTAACTACTCCCCATAAACAAGTGGTTATCGAGACTGAGCTCGTGAAGATGGTCCATGGCAACTATTTATTGAAAAGATAAAACGTAACCTAATGTTGTGAACTTTTTTATTACAGTCATGTAGAGTAAGCACAATTAGAATTGGTAGAGTGTAGACGTAGATTTGAGTGCGGTTGTCACACTTCTCTTTACACCCACATCATCCCACACATTGAATTTTCAACTATGGTTGTGCTTTATACAGTTTGTTGATATTGTCGTTGGAGTGTTGAGTAATGAGCGATAGCTCTAAGCCACAGACACAGTTGATAGCCTGCTAGAGAACAGCATCGAACCCGTTCAGGCTCGCATTCTGGACGAACCAAAATAGATTTGAGACATTCCAGTTGTTCTTCATTGACTTGATCTCTGTCAAAGTTAAGCAACATCATCAAAAGCTCATTGGCCTTGGTACCCAACCACTTCTTAATTTCATACCAATCGGACATCCGTTTTGATGGAACCAACAATACAGTTAAGCCTTCAAGTATGTAAATAATACTAAGAGGTGGTTTACGGAAGGTCATAAGTTCCGTAATTCCGGCCTTGGTAAGGACTTGTAGACTCGCTTCAGCCTCTAAAGAAAATTAATTGATAATGATGATGAATAGAATCGATAAAATACTGAACCTGCCAAAGATGAAGCCATCATTTCACGATCAATGTTCGATGACATTACTTTCCTAGTATTCGTCTAATAGACAATCAGTGATTCGAATGGAGGCTTGAAATACATTTATATATGTAAGAGGAACAGAATAAAACACAATTGTCAGATAATGGTATTAGTAATGTACACTGACGTGAATAATTGTTTTGTAATGACAGAAGCAAAAAAAAAGCATTGTTGGCGATAACGTCATCAGAATGCGTCACTATTGTAGTCATACTTGTTGACTAAACACAAATGATTCAGCAAAAACCAGTATAGAGAATTTATTTCAAGTATTATCAAATAAATTTCTCACTGAACCCTTTGTCCATGCTAGCCGATCGTCTTAGAACGTTCCTTCAACGATATAGTAAATCTTGAAAAATAGGATGATTGTAGGTCTTGCCATAGAGTTTAATCCAATAAATGATTTACTTCGCATTTTCGGCAATAGTCAA